CCCCGGAGCCGGCGCTCACCGTGCGCCACGCGCCCGGGGCCGGCTCCGGCACCGCGCATGCGCCACGTGCCCGGGGTCAGGCCAGCCCTGAGCACTTGGCGGGCGCAGACAAATGCCCCCGTGGGCGCCATGGCACCCGCGGGCACCGTGTTGGGGACCACGGCAATAGTCTATATCTGGATTAGAAATCTGTAGAAGAATCCATATGCTAAGGGAAATGTTAGTAATTCAGTAGGTGGTATCTTTGCCTCTAAATATATCTAACAAATGCTCCAGTAAAGCAAAAAGGGGGACTAGAGAGACAAGGTGGGTGAGGTAGAATTTTGTATTGGAGCAGACCTGAATAAAAGCTCCATGTAAATTCAACAGCTTTTCTCTTTCACCAGCATACATTGGTCCAATAAATTAATAAAAGATATTAGCTTACCCATCTTTTCTCTCCGATACCCTGGGTCCCACATAGCTACGATAACACTACCAATGCTAAAGGGAATGGTAAGTTACCATCTTTTCAGATGAGACACAAAATTTAAAGAACTGACTGCCTGTATATATTAAATTCCTTTGGACTTTTCCCATGAATACGTGAGTAAATGCTGAAGAACTTGTCTAATACTAGAATCTATTGAAATCTCCCTTGTAGTTTCCAGTAGGAATAATATTCTGTCCTAAACTGTTATGTTGTCTTGCTAATGTTATACTCTGTACTCAGTGATACATGTACTTTGGCAATTCATTTACACATTTGTACAAACAGCTAAACTGCGGTAGGAAGCATTTTGTTGCAAGACATTATATCAGTAGAAGATCAGTATAACTATCAATGATCAAATGACAAATGTATACCATTAAACTCAGCCACAGTTTATTACAACTAAACCCTACTTATTAAATAAAAGGAAGGGAAAATGCGTATAACACTGTGTGGTGTACTAACCAATCATAATTTATTTTACATTTCTATATGTTATTAGTTATGTTATTCCATTTTTATTCAAACATTTCTTGTTTCTATTCAGACTTTCCTTTAGCTCATCTATTAAGAAAATGTCATTGCTTATGGATTATTAATAGTGACATAAGCACCAATCAGAACATTATTTAAGCATGAGCATATTCTTCAATGGAACTACTTGAATGTTTAAAGTTAGGCATGTGCTGAATCAAGACTAAAATGAGTTGTTCAATGGGGTAACACATGAAGGCTAATAAGGGTGCCCAGGTTTGCCTTCATTCAATATGTACTTTTATAAATGTAACAAGTAAAGTATAACATATCATACATAAGAGAAAATGCAAATTGAGCTGTTTGAATTATCTTAAAATAATATTAATTGTAGAGTTAGCTCATCTAGCGTATGTCTTCACTGAATGCTTATTTCAAAATAAGCTATTCTGGATTTTTTCTGAAATAGCTTATTTTGAAATAGCACGTCTATACTACAGGGAAGCCTCAAAATTAGTCTGAGGCAGGCTCCTCTAAAGTGGATGTGCTACCTCAATTTAGAGCCCCAGAAGGCACTGGGGAGTAATTACTTTGAATGGCCCTGGGGAGAAGCTATTTCGAAATAGCAACATTAGAGCATCCACACTACTGCTATTCCAAAATAGCTATTTTGGAATCGGTGTTATTCCTTGTGGAATGAGGTTTTTAGAAGTCGGAATAAGCCATCCATTGTTTCAAATTTATTTCAAAATAACAGAATTGCTGTGTAGATCTTCGCATTGTTATTTTGGAATAACGGCCATTATTCCAAAATAACGCTGCTGTGTAGACGTACCTCTAGCTAACACTGATTTAACTGGAAAAACGTAAAAAACAACGAATAGTCTTGCAGCACCTTGAAGACTAACCAAATATGTAGATGGTATCATGAGTTTTTATGGGTACAACCCACTTCTTCAGATGAATGGAATATTAAA